GTAAATAGTATGCTTCGATCTGCATTCAAACTCTATGGTTTGTTCTTCTTTGTGGAGAGCATTTTCCATCATGAGGCCTTTGGAGATGTCTTAGATCCTTATATTGCTGAGAAGGGTTAAGTCTATCAGTATTAGTCATTGCTCAGTGTGGCTGTTTCTAACTCTGTGCCTCTTGGACATATCATTTAACCTCTGAACGTCAGCTCTTCTTGTGTAAACCTAAGTCTGTGATTATTTGATACAGGTGGATGATGTAGATGTAGTCTGCTACAGGTGATTTAGATAGGAATGGAGAGATGTCTGTCCCTTTCATAAGACATTGTGAAGGAAGAATTGACAAACTTTATAGCTAATAGTAACTAGTTTGAAGAAATTGGCTATACTTTGAAGTTTCATTTTTTATAAAATTCATGTTTTTATACATTTCAGATGTTTGCAAATGAACCAAAATATTTTATTCCACACATGTAGTAGGCTGTTAGAGGTAGTGAATATATAGAAACAGGGATTGGACTTTTGGCTTCATTGATGTGGGAACTGTCTTTCTCTGCCAGTGCATATCACCATGTAGGACTCCGAAAAATTAGGTAATTTGCCCAGGGTCATCCAGCCAGTGTGTTTCAGAGCTAGGTCTGTATTTAATGAATAACTGGTATCAGCACTTGGCTCTGTTTCAGTGACCATGTTTTACAACTCTTATCTTTGACTTCTTGAATCTAACTGACCTCATCATCTCTAAAATAGAAGTATAATACAGCTAACACAAACAGTTGTTGCACAGGAACCCTGGCAATGAAATCAAGTTCCCCAAACTCATCCAGTGGCATATCAGTCCAAAATAAACTATCAAAATCTATTTTACAAACGATCCACTTATTTAAATGCCCACTTAAGAGCACAATTGGTAGATGATTACATAACCTGATGAAATCAGTTACCAAAATAAAATTCACTGGGTTGTGGCCATAGTATGTTAAGAATAAAGAATTTAGGGGGATAAGATTAATGTGATTGTTGTTCCTTAATTAAAACTTGCTTCCCTTTACTTTGAACTATTCTTGTTTTTCTTACCCATAACTACATAAAGTATACTACTAATTTCATTATAAAAATCATTATAAAAATACATTAAAATATATAATTTGTTTGGATATTTGTTTTCATTTCCATAAATATTTTTAAGACAGTTCTAAAATGTTTGTGAACTAGTTTAAAAATTCTGTGCTTCAAGGCAATAGGAAATGTAATGGTAGATAAGGAAAACCCAGTTAAGGTTCATACCTTACCACTTAATGCCTGATGTCCTGAAATATAGGCATAATCTTCTAAATGCCCTCTCCTGCCACAGCTCAGAGCACATGTCTAATATTTGGACTACCCACATTTTAGGAAGGATATTGATAACTGGAAAGCATCTGGAGCAAGGAAACAAAAATAGCTTGGGGCCTCTAATTCATGCTGTAGGAAGATCAGTTGAAGGAAAAGAGTGAAGAGAAGTCCAGGAAGGGGTATGATAGCTCCCTTAAAGTGCTCAAAAGGCTGTCATGTGAGAGGGTAGACTTGTTCTTTTTGACCCCATAGGTCACAGTTAGGAGCAATGGGAAAAGTTGCAAAGAGGGAAATTTAGGCTTCATGAAATTATAACCTGTGGCCCAGAGTCCCCAACTCTGGCATTTCATGGGTCAGCACCAGCCCTAAATACTAAACCAAAAGATCGTTATCTCTTTAGCTTGTTGTTGTATTTTTTGCCATCTAGACTTCACAGTCAGAAATCTCAGAATATATTTTATGTGTATAATTCATGTCTAGATTTGCACAGCAATGGGTAACAGAGTCCCTAGCTCCCGTTCGAGGTAATGTGCTACTTTATTTCACATAGAAAATGCGAAAGTTATAAGCAACTCTTAAGGAACCCATAAACAAATGTAGAAAACATATGAAGGATCTCTCAGTGGCCCATAAATAAGCAACTTGAGAGCAAGTAGGTGGTACAATGGATAAAGCACTGGGCCTGGGTCAAGGAAGACCTGAGTGCAAATATGGCCTCAGACACTTTACTAGCTGTGTTACCCTAGACAAGTCATGTGACACTGTATGCTTTAATTTCTTTAACTATAAAATTAGAATAATAATAATAGCACTTACCTCCAGGTTTGTTGTGAGGATCAAATGAGATCATATTAGTAAAGTACTTAGCACGGTACCTGGCAAATAGTAGGTGCTTTAAAAATGCTAATTTCTTTTCCTTGCAAACCAAATAATTCAATTTGAGGAAGCCTCACTCACTGAGACCTAATCAAGAGTTATCTTCCTAAGGTATCACTTCACATGCCCACACCATAGGGAAAGGTATGAGACATCAAAGAGGCCCAACAAAGCATCACTTTCTGATGAGCTCATCAAAATTATCTCTCCCAACTCTACCCACCCTGCTTACTTAAAGAAGAACTTCCTCATAGCTCTCAGAAAGTGAAATCATGGTAATATAATACAGTGTATTTCCTCTTACTGGAAGTCTTCAAACAAAGGCAGAATGACCATTTGTCAAGTGTCAAGTCAGCAAGCATTTGTTCTAGTGGGGCTTCTTTTTCAAGTGTGGGCTGAACTTGAGGACCTCTGAAGTTCCTTCCAGATGTGAAACTCGGATTCATCTTCTTGATTTTTCTTTTGTGTTCAACAAGTCCTTATGAAGCACTTATTTATTATGTGCTATGCTTTGTGCTAAATCTCCAGGGTTAAAAGAAGACAAGGTTTTTGCCCTCATAGAGCTTATAGTCTTTTTTAGAGATAAAGAAGAATCAAAAATATCTTTAGGCCATAAGCATAGGTGCCTGGTAGTATTATGATGCTATTGACAGAGATAGGGAAGTCAGGAAGAAGAATAGATTTAGGGGTATAGATGATGAATTTAGACTTAGATAAAGATGTCTTTTATGCTAAAAACATTTGTGGAAAATAATAAATGTAAACAAATTTTCTAATAAATATTTTATAGACACCTAAAAATAGAACTAATTCATTTATATTAATAGCATACTTTATGCCATTATATTTGGAAAAAAATAAAATTATTGAAAGTAGAAGCAAGCATTAATCAAAGTATTAATCACATTGCTTTTAATACTCTCTGCTTTTGCTTTCTGTCCTTAATTTTCTCATTCTGCAATCGTATCCATCAGTTGTGCAGGAGGTTTTACAACTGTAGTTTATACAAACAAGAAGTACAGTTATAAAAGATAAAGTAGATAAGCTTGATTACTTGAAACTGAAAAGCTTCTGCATAGACAACATTAATTCATCTGGGATAAGAAGAGAAGGAGTTGATAGGGGGGAAAATCTTCATATCAGATTTGTCGAATAAAGGTTTGGTATCCAAGATATATAAACTATCTATCTATCTATATGTGTATACACACACACACACACACACACACACACACACACACGCACGCATGCACGTCTGTGTGTATAGATATACATGTTTATATGATTAATAGCCATTACATGGTCCAAAGATATGAACAAAATTCTCAAAAGAGCTAACAAGTATTCACAACCACATGAAAAAATATTCCAAATCACTCATAATAAGAGGAATGCAAATCAAAACAACCATAACGTTTTACCTCACACCCTGAAAATTGGCAAAAATAATTTTTTAAATGGTGATAGTGTTGGAAGTATTGTAGAAAGATAGGTACACTGATAGATTATTGGTGGAACTATGAAATGGTAGAACTATTTTAGAAAGCAATTTGGAATTATGTAGATAAAGTGACTAAAATGTCAAATCAGAGACTGTTTTACTGAGCTTAACTCCAAGGAAGCCATGATAAGGGCAGGGGGCAGGGGGGGAGAGGGGAGTCTCCATATACTCTAAAACATTTATAGCAACACTTTTTGTGATAGTTAAGAATTGGAAATAAAGTAGATACTCATCTATTGGGGAAGGGCTAAATAAATTGTGGTATGTGAATGTAATGGAATATTACTTTGTTGTAAGAAATTATGTGTATTACAGGTAAGTACACATGGAAAGAGTCTATGTGAACTGATTCAGAGTGAAGGAAGCAGAGCCAAGAAAACAATATACACAGTATCTTCAACAATATGAATTGAAATAACTATTACAGACCAAAAAATCAAAAATGAATTTTAAAAATTATAAAAATCAAAGGACTCAAAGGAAGAGAGATGAGAGGATCCACCGACCCCGTTTGTGGAGGTGGGAAGTCCACAAGTGTTACACATTGTATGTGTTTTCAGACCCTTTGAGCATGTCCATCAGTTGGACTGACTCTTTTTTCCCCTTCTCTAAAAATATTGTCATATAGGATGGGTCTCTGGGAGAGAGAGAGGAGAGAGGAATACTTGAGATAACTATGGTGATGTCAACAAAAAAAACACTTTTTAAAAAGAAACCAGTTTAAAAAAATTAAAAAACAACTAGTTTAGGCAAAGATTTTGACAGTTTATGTTGGACTGGCTGCCTTGGTTATGTTCTATTGTGTGCATTAGAGGAAATTCACTACTCCTGCTTGTATGGAACGTCTGCTGTAAGGCCAGTTGTTTACTGAGCACCCATCTTCTGGTGGCATTTCATCGTATGCCACTGTGTGTATGTATGTTCTTGTCTCCCAGACTAGATTACAAGAGTTTAGAGGGCAGGGATAATATATTTTATTTTGTGCTCCTCTCTACAGTTGCTATATACTTAGGTTTCCTCTGTTTTTCAAAAGCAGTACTTGAACTTAAACTGTTAAAAAAAATTTAACTCAAGTTTAGTTGGCATTTGCTGTCTTACCAATTGGATTTTAGGTGTGAAGCAAATTATTCTTTCCATTGTATGATTTATTTTTGTATCTTTATTTATGAGCATTCATTCTCATGCATTTTATTTCCTAAATTTTGTTTATTCAACATTCAATGAATAAATTGCATTTTCTAAAACATGAATGTTCAGATTGAAAGATTTTCTCTGGGTGTATTTGTTCTCTCAGGCTTATTATATTATGCGGGACATGGCTATGAAAACTATGGGAACAGTTTTATGGTTCCTGTGGATGCTCCAAATCCATATAGGTCTGCAAATTGCCTGTGTGTGCAAAGTATACTTAAATTGATGCAAGAAAAAGAGACCGGACTCAATGTGTTCTTGTTGGATATGTGTCGGAAAAGGTAAGGTTTTTATTCTTTGTTAAATAGTGAGTTTATTCTAAGTAATGAAATGTTTGTCTCTGAGTATTAAATCTACAGAAATCAGAATGATTGACATTACATGAAATGAGAAGGTAATTCTTATTTAAATAGATATTTCATCTCTGCTGAAAACTAAAAATGGAAACTATATATATATATGTGTGTGTGTGTGTATATATATATATATATATATATATATAGTTTATATGCAATAAAAGTTTATCTTTTATTTAGCATGTACCAGAATTCAAGCAAAAGCCACTTCACTTAATGGATTTTAGATCACTAATTTACTTTATTTAGGAAGAAATTATGTTTCATCAAAAAATTTATTTTTATTGTATCTAGTTATTTCACTCTCCATATATATGATATACAGGGCATAAGAGAATTAAACCTATAGATGATATGCCAGTATCATTGTAATGTGTGATAGATTTAATGCTGGACTCAGAGTCAGGAAGACCTAGGTAAAGATCCCACCTCTGATACTGGCTACATACTGTGAGCAAGCCAGTGGACTTCTCTGACCTCAGTTTCCTACCTGATTAAAATGGGAATAATGCCTCATATTTACTTGTGTTTGGTGTTCACCAGTAGAATTTAAGTTCCTTGAGGGCAGGGACTGTTTTTTTTTTTAATTCGTGTTATCTCCAGTGCCTTGTACACCTTGGGCATTTAATAAATTTTGTTGAATTAGGAAATTCCTAAAGAATAATGAACCACTTTCCCAACTGTCTTCAAAATGTCTCTGGATTCATCTTCTTTGTCCTCCAACCATCCACCCCTTCACCATCATCACTACTACCATTCTCATTCAAGTGGCTGCCAGCCTCAGATTTTTTGATGACTTCAGATCTCCCTATCTTAGGTCTGTTAGTTTATCCAGACATTCCTGCCCAGCTTTATTTTAATCTCAGGTCACTGTAAAAACTAATCTTAAGCTTTTACTTTCCAAATTTTGATTGTCCAAGAAAGCACATTCCATTTGTAACACTATTGCTATGAAAAAATTGTTCTCTGTGACCTAAATTCATGAAGCCAGTCACCATGGTTAAGTAGCTTTTACCTGCATTCACACAAGATAAATTGCAAAGTTATTCCCACATAATGGAAATAGTTCTTGCTAGTGATTGGGTACTGAAGATGGGGCTCATATCAGTGCACTATAGTGCTATAACGAGTCAGATTTCCTGATTCCAACTTCACTGACTTCTGTTTGCTTTTCAGACTTTTCTAGTTCAATGGTTCAATTTCTTGGTTGATAGAGCTGATATAGAGATCAAATATGATTAGTACTTTTTGCAAACTAGCCTGATGTTAATCAGATCCACTTTTGTTGTATTTTTTGTTTAAATATGTAGCAGCAGGGCCATAGGTCATAGAATTTAGAGCCTGAAGGCAGATAATCTACTACCTTCATTTTACAGGTAAGGAAACTTAAGGTCCAGAAAGGTGAATTACAGAGCAAGGCTTCAGACTTCGATCTACTAAATCCAAATTTAGTGTTCTTTCCACTATGCTTTGTTAATTTTCTTCTAGTTCATTTCAGATTGTAATTTATAGGAATTTAGGAGAAACACAAACTGGCTCAAAGTGGTGCTTTAAGATGCTGAGAGTTATTAGGTATAGGAAATCCCCACATCCTCTGTTCTTGTTCACCCTTCCCAAGGGTATTATCTATTCACCCTTAGTCAACAGATAGTCAAAACTATTTATCGTCTCTTCTGATCTGAAGAAAGGAAAATGTTGTTAACTCTGTTTTTCTTCTCATCTGTATGTAAATTGGGCCTCACTTCTTTTGCGGCCATGAAAGAAATGCCAAATAAAGGGAAGAAAAGGGATAAAATCATCAGATAAAGTAATTCTGGAACTACTTCTGTAACCTATTTGTGTGTCTTTTGTCGACTCAAAAAATATTAAGTACAAAGTTATAATATGGTAGTTTTACTAACTTTATTTTTGCTATTTTAAGATATTTTTCCCATTTTATTTCCTTATCTGTTGCTTTTATTCTAGAAATGATTATGATGACACCATTCCAATCTTGGATGCCCTGAGAGTCACTGCTAATATTGTTTTTGGATATGCAACGTAAGAAAGCTTAATATTTGTTTAAAAAATGTCCTATTTTATGAAACTGACTCTTAATGCATTTTATCTTTGACTTCCCTATTTATAACCTTGAAGAGGTCTGTTAGTAATGATCTCTTTTCTTTGATTAAAAAACTAGAGATTTACAGCAATTTGTTACAAATATACTTGTCCCTTAGTTTCCCCTGGTAGTCAAATTCATCCAGCAATGTTACACTACTTCTCTGAATAGAAACTTCAGATCCAAGGAGGCATATTGCTTGTATGTTCCCAAACAAAAGTGGGAAAAGTAAGTCCATCAGTAATTAGGAAAACCTCTTTACTTTGTAACAAATCTATGGTTCTTATTACTATTTTAAAGATGCCAAGGAGCAGAAGCTTTTGAAATCCAGCATTCTGGATTAGCAAATGGGATCTTCATGAAGTTCTTAAAAGATCGGTTGTTAGAAGACAAGAAAATTACTGTCTTACTGGATGAAGTTGCAGAAGGTAAAAGTGAAAATTTAGGGGGAGCTATTCCTCCAGGTCCCTGTTTTTAGAATTCTCCTCTCCCCATACTTGGGATTATTAGAGTTTGGAGACAGTGTTTATTATACAAAGTTATTTCTCTTAAAATATGTAGTGGAACTCTAAAGTTCTGTCATTCCAGTATATGCGTTTTATCTCCATCTCCCAACTTCATGAATTTTCACTGTTGTTGTTTGTTGTTAAATAATTTTTCAATCATATCTAACCCTTCATGACCCCATTTGGGGTTTTCTTAGCAAAGATACTGGAGTGATTTGCCATTTCCTTCTCCAGCTCATTTACAGATGAGGAAACTAAGGCAAACAGGGTTAAGTGACTTGCCCAGGATCACACAGCTAGTAAGTGTTTGAGGCCAGATTTGAGCTTAATGAAGACTTTGTGGTTCCAAGCCCAGTGCTCTATCCACTGTGCTAATCTAACGCCTTTTCACTAGCTGTCTCTCATATCTGGAATGCTCTCCCTTCTCATCTCTACTCCCCGGCTTTTCTGGATTTCTTCAAGATTCAGCTCAAATCACACCTTCTGCAGGAGACCTCTCCCATTTCTCACCACTGTGAGTGCTTGCTATCTGAAATTAACTTCTGTTTACTCAGTATAGAGTTGTTTGAATGTGTTATCCCCTATAAGAATGTGAGCTCCTTGAGGACAAAGGCCTTTTCCTCAGTCTTCTCAATAAAATAAGGAGATTAAACAACATGATTTCTAAGTATAGGAGTAAGGAAAGTTTTCTTAGATACACTGTGAGAAAACGGCTGGTACCATGCATATAAACGGTTTTATTTTTCTTTTTTCATTAGGGGGGTTGAGTGATAAGTAGAAGGGAATTAGGAATAGCGTTCCCCCCAAAATGAGTTGAAAATATAAGGAAGTCCAGAAGGAATCACAGTCTAGCAGGACAGCTTTCAAAGTTGTGTGTTGAATTTATTATATACTTAAAAAAGAATAGAGATTTGTAGTTTTGTGTACAGTCTTCTCCTTCTGTCCTACAGTATAAGGACATGCTCATTTTATTTAGGGTTTTTTTTTTGGTATTTTTTCCTAGGCAATAGGGTTAAGTGACTTGCCCAGGGTCACACAGTTAGTAAGTGTCAAATATCTGAGGCCAGATTTGAATTCATGTCCTTCTGACTCCAAGGCCGGTGCTCTATCCATATTTAGTATTTTTTGATTTCAAATGTTTTAATGGAAAGAATGATTTTTTTAAATATAAATTTATTTATTTTTATTTTTCAACATTCACTTCTACCAGTTTTTGAGTTCCAAATTTTCACCCCCATCTCCCTCCTCCCCCCACCCCAAGATGTCATGCATTCTGAATATCCCTTCCCCTAGTCTGTCCTCTCTTCTATCTCTCTCCCCTTCTCTTATCCCCTTCCCCTTCTGTTTTCCTGTAGGGCAAGATAGACTTCTGTACCCCATTTCCTGTATTTCTTATTTCCCAGTAGCATGTGAAAACATTTTTTTAAACATATGTTTTTAAAACTTTAGGTTTCAAATTTTCTCTCTTCCTCCCTCCCCAGCCACCCTCATTGAAAAGGCAAGCAACTTAATATAGGTTGTACATGTGCAGTTATGCAAAACATGTCCATAGTAGACATGTTGTGAAAAACTAACTCTATTTCCCTTAATCCTATCCTGCCCTCCATTTATTCTGTTCTTTGAAAGAAAGATTTTTTTAAAAAAAAGAAAAGATAAAAAGAATGCAATGGAATAGTATTGTGTCTTAAGAAATTATTAATATTAAGTATTTGAGATGCATGGGAATACTTAGGAACTGATGCAGAGTAAAATAAGGGAAAAAACCCAGGAAAATACTATACACAATGTCTATAACTATGTAAATACATTGAACAAAAAAATGGAACTGAATATTGTATAATTATAATGATCAGGTGGCCCTAGAGAAGAGATAAGAAAAATTTTTCCCTTCTTTCCAGAGGTGAAGGGCTATAGGTGTGGGATGTTGTATGTACTATCAGATTCAGCTGATTTGTTGGTTAATTTTACTAAATTGTTTCTTTCTCTCTTTTTTTTATTTCTAAAAACAACTCTGTTTCACAAGGGAGGCCTCACTGGGTCAAGTGTGGCAGAATAGGTTCAGAAGTGATATTAAAAACAAAAGATATCAATAATTTTTAAAGGGCTACTATCTTCCTCAGTTATAACTGTATACTTTATCTTTGAGCAAACAGAAGATTTTTTTTCTTAGACTAACAAAGTGCCCCCTTAAAGGAGGCTTTTAAAAAATATATTATGTATACTTCATTTCTCCTAAGAATTCCAAAAAATTTCAAAAAGGCTTGCCCAACTTTTAAAAATTTGAGCAACTTTCTTTAACATTGTGAATCTTCTTTTAAAATTTCTTTGAATCCACTAATTTTGTTTGTTTATATATTCTGGATTAAGAATCACATTTCATTCTGCTCAGATTACTCCACTAAATTTGTCACCAATATGGAATATAATATATTGTAATAATTTAAAAGAAGGAAAGTAATACTGTGATTCTTATTTAGTGAACTGAGTAATGCAGTGGAATTAATATGCTTCAAAGTAGATCATGATATATTTAAATCAATGATCAGTATTGTATTTTGAAATCGTACAAGGTTACCTAATGGGCTGTGTTAACTGATCCCTTCAAAAATTACGCTGAATTTTGGGTTTGGAAACAATCCTGAGAAGTCAACCTACCTCTACCCTGAATTAAGATCTCAATGTTGCCTACGTTATTTGTGTTTTCTCTTTTTCAGAATAAAAAATATATTTTAAAATCTTGATCATCACTTGGGTTTTCCCAACCAACTCTGATATATAATTAGCCTTGAGAGAGAGATGTATAGGAAGAGAATTTATAGAAATTAGAGTAAGATAATTGAAAGCAAGAAAAATAGATTGTATTGATATGATGATTATTTTAGTGAGAGTAATCATTGTCTGAATCCTATATGTATGTTTTATATATGTGTGTGTGTGTTCATATTACACATGTATTATGAATATATCATCTTTTTAGATATGGGAAAATGTCACCTAACCAAAGGCAAGCAGGCCTTAGAGATTCGAAGCAGTTTATCTGAAAAGAGGGCACTTACTGATCCCATACAACAAACATTATGTTCTCCAGAATCCTTGGTGCGAAATTTGCAATGGGCCAAGGCACATGGTACAGTAAATTTTATTTTGTAAGATCTTTCTAGAAATATATTAATATGACATTATAGAGTTTTTAAAATTGTTATTATTTCTTCCAACTTTATTATAAAAGCATTTTAGCCTTAAAAGGGAACACAGAATTAAATCAGGCTCTAAATTTCAGTTTGCATTTAATTTCAGTATGATGTTAGACAAAGAGACTAATAACCCCATAAGTAAAACTAATATATTGTAATTGTTTAATATGGCCAGCTCTTCTTATTGAGGAAATAATTATCAAGCTAATGAATTATTTAGATTCTTCTCCATCTATACTTTATTCTATTTCATTCTATGTTGGCAGTACTCTAAGGTTTGGTGTAAGAAGCTAAAACAGTTTTGGACCCTTAGAAGTGTCTGTACTATGTATAAACCTATTAGTTGTATTTGTTGAACACCTATAACACACTGTCACTAAATATAATAGTCTTAAGTAAGATTTAGATCTCCTGTTGATAAATTAATGTTAATGCACATTCAAAATGTAAAATACCATATAAATATTGTAGTTCCATCCACATGAAAAGTAGGTATTGGATGATTTCGCAAACAACTGAGTCATTTTTTAAAAATATCAAAATACATCATTTGCATCATTGAGTAAAATTTAACAAGTATTCTTGAATACCTGTTGTACTAGCCACCTTAAGAGACAGAAGGACAATCAAACATGGTCCCTCCCACCAGGGAAGTAGTTAATGTAACCACTCAGTTAATCTAACTGAGGAGTAAAGTGTAGTAGATGAAGTATGTGTGTTTTATATTGTCAAGAAATTTTATCAAGGCTTTTTAAATTTAACTCTTTAAATAATAACTTAAATATGCACAACATTTTTTCCAGAACTTCCAGAAAGTATGTGTCTTGATTTTAAATCTGGTGTTCAGATTCAGCTAGGATTTGCAGCTGAGTTTTCCAATGTCATGATAATCTATACAAGAATAGTTTACAAACCACCTGAAATAATGATGTGTGAAGCCTATGTTACAGATTTCCCATTTGTAAGTTACTCATCTTTCTTATTACTTTTTTTACAGTATTCATTTATTGAAAAGTAAAATGCTCCCTATCTGATAATAGATATATAGTTTTAGAGAGAGAATTGTCTTATGTTAGTGATAATGATCACAATATTAAAAAATTGATTACTAAGCTGTTTTGTTATTCAGTGTTTTTGAGTATAAAAAAAGAAATTACATTAATACAGAAAAGGCAGGCTTAAAATATTATTTTGTTCTAAAATGAAGTAATGTGAAAAATAAAATGTACTATAAAAATGGAAATTACCATGGATTTATATTTTAAACTCTGATGAATCTCATTTAAACTCACATCTCTATTAGCCCTTTTGGCTAAATACATTATAATAATCTACTGGTGCAATGGGAATCAGCTACTAATATCACTTCTAAGTATTTAACAGACAAGAATTCTGTTTTGGTATCTAAAGAATACAATAATCTTTTAAAAAGAAAACTACATACATGGTAAGTTCACTTTTTCAGTACACTAGAATCCCTTGAAGATTTAAATAATGTACTGACTGTGGGTTAAGGCTATTATAATTAAAGGTCAGCAGGAACTCCATGCACTTGGCATGAGCATGTAGGGAGATAATCTTAGCAACGTTGTTTATTGATTGCATTTTCATTTTAATGTGCATTAAGTACCTCTTCTCTGGAAGGCATTGTGCAAGATCTTTTTAGTTCAAGGTAAAGAATCATCTGCTTAGCCCAAAATGTAGGCTATTAAAATGCTTAGTGTATTGCTATCCATGAAAATAAGTCGCTGATACTTTGTCTTCTCACCCTATTTTTATTATTCAAGTTGTTTGAATCGTTGTTTTAAAAATTCACTTAATCAAGTAGTTTTGGTTTCCAATTCTGTTTTTCCATGTACTTTTCTAGTGTATTCTATTAATAGAGTCAAAGATTTAGAGAGCTGGAAAGAACCTTAGACTCACAAAATCCAAACCTCCTTTTTGCACTGAGGAAACTAAGGCATAGCAAGGAAAAGTGGCTCTGCTCACCTCCTGAGTCCAAGTCCAGTGCCTGGCCACCATCCCATGCTCCCTCTAAACTAGAAGTGTACTTAATGCTAGGATTCTCTTAAGATTTTCTACATGATATAATTGCTTGGTGATTATTATTGATTTGTTGGCTCTCTTAAATTTTCACAGGATCTAGATGTTGATCCAAAAGATGCAAATAAAGGAACCCCTGAAGAGACTGGCAGCTATTTAGTATCCAAGGATCTTCCCAAGCATTGCCTCTACACTCGACTCAGTTCACTGCAGAAGTTAAAGGTAACCACCATCCTTGAATTTCATGATTCGTGAGGTTGTATTTGAAAGTGTGAATCTTTTGTTTGTCCACAGATATTTCAGTAGCTAACAGACTGGCTACTGGGTAAGATATCGCTGCCTCATAAAATATCAGCAACTTATAGTTGCTGCCCTCTGGGTTGTAAGTCTCAAAACTTAGGGCTGTTCAGAAATACAATTATCATTCCTTCTTTTATGACTAAATTCTGCTTTTAAAATTTTTTAGCATTCTTTTATCATTTCCTTGCTGAATAACTTCAAAATAAAGAATATTGAGGTGATTTGCAGAAGTTTAACAGTAAGGTATTAACAAACTCAGTTTTAGAATTCCCAGTACTATTCTGATCTTATTTTTCACTCTTCCAACTGTCTTTTGTGGAGAAGATTTCTCTATGATTGATTTTTTTTTTAATTTTATTTTTTAGATACAGGTAGATCTCTGCTTAGTTTCAGTGTTTTACTTAAGAGTATTTGATATGAGTACATATACTCACTCTTATAGATTCAACCCATAACTTGTTTTAGTTAGTTTTCTTTCCCTTTCTACCTCAATGGAATTTTTTTTCTACTAAAGTTCCATTTTGATGTTTCATGAGGTGGAGCATCTGATCCTGAGTTCTTGGAAGCTAAGTGGGCAGAGCAGAAGTTTGACCAAGTTCTTCCAATCTGAAAAGCCTTTAAGTGCAGACAGAGCTGGTGATGAACTAACTCTACATCTGTGATATGAGAACCAGCCTAGCTCAGTTTGGGAGAGGCTTGTTGTTAGAGGAACTTAATTATTTTGGCCGTTATATCTCATGAAGACCATCTACTAAGTCACTGAGAAGTTGATATTTGTATTAATTAAGGGAGAGTCCATGCTAATAGAGTTAAGTTCTTTAAAGTGTTGAAGTAAGAAACAGGTTTTTACCTTATAAAATTTTCAAACCACTTAGCCACTGAACAAACAATATATATAGATAGTACCTTCACCTATTTAAAAATGATTTTGTTAATGTTGCTTTAGACATACCTGTGGAGGGCAAGTTTTCTAAGCTGCAATACACAGAATTCTTTATAACAATGTTTAGGAAAATTAATTTGAGGGCTATGTAATTCTGTCTTTCAGTCTCAAGAATTGGGATTATACTTCAACTCCAGAGAATGGACACAGACTGACACTGAAAGCAAAGGCAGCATCTGTGAATTTAGGGGAGATGAAATGGATTCAGGAAATAGCCAAAAAGAGTTAGATCATGGGTTTAGAGAGGAAGAGTTATAGGACCTAAGAAAGGAGATGGGAATTTTTTTATCTTATTTTTATTGGTATCTTTCGTTTCTGTGTCACCTCATTTCCAAATATGTCCTTCCCCTACTCTATCCAGAGAGCCATCTCTTGTAACAATGAATAAAAAAAGAGCGAAAAAAATTTCAACAAATAAGCATGGCAACTGTATCTGACAGTATTTGCAATATGGAGGAGGAAATGTTTGAGCATGATGTATTTTCACTGTTTAAAACATTTTTTCTTTTCATTTTTAGGAACACCTAATCTTCACTGTATGTTTATCCTATGAATATCCAGGAATGGAAGATACTATAGAAGAAAGACAGGAAGTGAATGTTGGCAAACCTCTCATTGCTAAATTAGACATCCATCGAGGACTACGAAGGAAGAGTTGCTTTCAGGCTTGTTTCATGCCAAATAGTCCTTGCCAGAACCCTAACCCCACCTCAGTGGCAGCTGAACATTATCATTCTTCTCCAGATTCATTCCATATTGTTTACAATTCAGATCCTAACTCAGGTAGTTGTCATTGCAACCAGACTGCAGATACACTTATTTCAAGTCATGGTAACCAGAATTATTCATCCCCATTCATTAGGAGTAATGTACCTGTAGAAACAACGGATGAACTGCCATTCACTTTTTCAGATCAGCTCACGTTTTCTGAAAAGTAACCATGTTAGTCTGTGAAAATAGCATTACTCCTAGATTCCTGATTCTCAGAATTACTTGGGTGTGCACTTCTATTTTAAAGAAAAGGTGCTATGAGGGCAAGCTAAGTCTCCCAGAAAACTCAGGATTGTCCTCTTTGAAATGTAAATTTTGTATAGTTAATTGCAAATGTCCTTTTCCTTCGCTTTAAAGTTTTTAAATAAGTTAGTTTGCACTATGTACATACAGAAATATAGTGTATATAGGGAGAAATAAAAATGCATTAAATTATGAACATTCCAAAGTAGGAATAATTGAAATGGAAGTTTTAAACTGAGGCAAGTGTCCTGTAGATATTATTTTTAGAACATCCTCTCTTATTTGGAGATATATTTATCTGTGATCTGTATTTCAGCATGTCTATAGAAATACATTTATTTTGATTATCCTGTGATTTCAAGACTTTGTCAAAATTGCTAATGAATGAAGAATTTTATATACACATCCTTTATAGAAAAGTCTAAAATCTCTAGTCTTTTAGATAGTCTTGTTTTTTAAAAAATGTTGGAGAATACCAAAACTTCACAGGTAGAGAATCATATGATTTGGGTCATCATAGTAGCAATCTATAAATAATCTAACCATTTAAAGTGCCCACCCAACAAGATGTGCTTTCTTAACTAATCCATCTAGTCTCATGTTAGTACTCTTAACTGACTTACACATTTTCGAGACTAATCAGTCAACAGTCATTTATTAAGCACCTATCACTCGATGCAATAGACAGGTTTGTTCCTTCAAATAAGTTAACAATGTTCTTAGAAAGTGTCCCAGTTCTAACACTGGGGAATATACCTGTGTAAGGTTGGGGCTCCGTTAATTATCTCACTCACTTAAAAGTAATTACCTTTGTTAAGTAAGAATGGGGGGAATCAATGGAGCACCCTTACATCAGCAAAAATAAAAGGGACTTTATTAGTTCCTTTTTGCTCTTTCTTGTCTGCTGCTTTTTTGGTTCTTTACCTTTCACAGGAGGCAACCATGGGTTTGCTAGAATTACAGCTTTCTGGGGAAAACAATAAAAAAATCAGCTGGCCAATGCATAATCTGTACCTAGATAATTAAAAGATAGGAGGGGAACAGAAGTTTAATTTCAATAAGGGGGCCTGAGATTCATGGGTACCAAATATAAGCAATGTATTCTCAGATTCTCCAAATAGTTATTTCCTGGATAATTTTATAACATTAAACACAAAAGTTTGTGCACTATAATATGAAACAAAATTAAAATTTTCATCTTCATATGAAAAGTTCATCATAATGTGATCATTGTTATTTTGTAAATAATAACCTATATTAGTTTACCAAATTCTCATTTTGTTTGTATTTTTCAGCCTTTGTCTATAATTGTAAATTTTGTGTGAAGGGTTTTTTATTACTTGCTACTTAGAGTATATTATATGGCTTACTTATTTCTGATTTTTTGATAAATTTTAATAAAGAAAAATATATCTGCAACAATAGAAGTATTATATGCAAAGTTATTCACTATTTATACACACTAGCCAATTTGTGTAGCTTAAGAATGCAATGAATATATCACTAGCATAAAAATAATTTACAAATTCAATAACGGTCTATATAATTCCCCACTGAAATATGTCTCTGCATCTCAGATATTGCCTGCTAGGCAGTGTTGGTGATTACAAAGAGCCAAAAATGCTTGCCATACAAAAGAGAGTATTAAATACTAAAATAAATGAAAGTAATAATTTTTAAAAGGATGAATTTGAGTAAATAGTGTATTTAATATCAACTTTATGGTCTAGCATTATGCCTTGAATTTGTATTTCGTAAGTATTTTGTTGAATTAATGTAAAGTTATACCTTAAAACATGTTTTAATTCAGTATTAAATATACTTAAACATTATATAAAAATGGACAAGTTTAAGCAAACAGAATTATGTTTCATTTCCTATTTTAGAATTCAATGAACTAATCCTTTTGAGTGGTTTTAGAATTATGTTGAAATCTCCTTCAGAAAGTATACAGTATAAACAATTCAGAAATCTCTTTATGTCCAGTTGCTGTTAGAAGGAAAATGATATAGTAAACTCATCTATGTAGAAGTGTCACTAAAAAACACCTGACTAATACTGTAATCAAAGAAAAATTATTATTCATAATGATGTACATCAAAAAATACAAACAGAGCCTTGATCCAGTCATTATGCAGTTTTAAACTGTTAAACTTTATTTTACCAAAACCCTACGAAGTGTTTTCATTGTAGAATGAAGGGAGGTGGAGGAAGAAGAAGGAAGGAGCCTGAGTTCTCAAAAAGAGTGTGTCAGCAGCTCTCCCAGTTTCTACAAAGCAGGAAAGGTTTCAATTAATTCTAGTACAGCCAGTTGATGGATTGTGTTAGTGACACAACGTCCAGTCCAGGTAAATTTGGAGTTATCACCAAAAACCTAACCACAGCAATTAATCAAGATTGTCAGCTAAGGTGTGGAGCTATTTCATCGGCCTCCATTGAAGGGAGGGCCCACAGCAAACCCATAGCAGTCATCTTTTGAAGTATTTAATTAACTCATGGATTTCATTTCTGTAAGCCATAGAACATAGTCTGCTTTTCCAACTAATTTGAACATTTTTTTTTGGTCACAGATCTGAAATTCATTGTGTAGCATACTTAACCTAGACTGTTTTATTTTTTAAATTCTGAATTTAAACATCAAAGAAAATAACACAACTAGAGTAGAAGTCAGCTAAATGGCACCATGGATTGAACCTTGGACCAGAAATCAAGAATTCTTGAGTTCAAATTTGACCTTGGACACTTAGTAGCTATGTGACCTTGCTCAAGTCACTTAACCTCTGCCTGAGTTTCCCTATCTGTAAAATGGCACCCACCACTCAGAGTTATAGGTATCAAACAAGATAATATTTGGAAATACACACTTTTAAGTGTTATGTAAATAGTAGTTTCTTATCGTTAATAAAAGAAGATAGCACATGAAACTGCTAATCTCCCTTATGTGCACCTTGCTTTTTGTAAGGCTCAGGTTCCTTTGATTATCCCCCTATTTAAGAGTATTTGCCTATATTAGGTGAGCATACTTCTTAATTGAAGCAATCTAAAGTGAGTATGAACAGGGCCTTTCCTCCTTGCTGCATCAATCAAAGCCTCTATATTAAAGAGACTCAGTGCCCTCAGGCAGTGGTTGCCAATGTTTATTTATTCCCTGAACCTCTTTCAACAATAACAAAAAAAAATTTGTTGTGAACCCCCAGGGTAATTTAATATGTTACTCATAATATTGTTTTAGATCCACTTACTGCTTGAGCCATTAAAGAATTTTGAACACAAACCCCTTGGGCTGTTGGCAAGCCTCTAGGTGGTATGTGAACCACCAAATGAGAACCACTGCCCGAAGGAACTAGTGTAAAAGGAAGGCCCTCTCTCAGGAGGATCTGGATTGGAGAGGAGCAAGCTTAGCATTCCAGTACATCTGTTAGGAGCAAAGGTGAGATGGAGCTGTGGCAGAGGGAGATATTGAGGGAAGTTGTTGGCTGGCCTTACAGGAATCACAGCAAAAGAACTGAACTGAAGGGGGACCCAAGAAAAGGTCAGTTCTTTCCCAAGTGTCCCTTTCTCATGCCTGTCTATCCATAGGCATCATAATATACACCTATCCTTTCCACATCACAGGGGTTAGAGGTATGGCGCCCCTGCCATCTAGAAAATTCATGTAAAATTTTTTGACCCTTGGTACCAGAGAAGTCTGAATTATTATGGTATTAAAAGATAAACTATGTTGATATTATTCAATACTATACATATATTTTATGCATTTATGAGTTTCTAAACTTTTTCTGTTTTCTGCTGGCCTTCATGTGTCGTCTGTGGCTTCCACGAAACTCCCTCAAAATTCCCATTTAATTTCTTATGTGGATCCATGATATATTGAAACCAAGATGGGAAAAGTCAGGATTTGGAAGAGAAAACTATAATCTGCTATTTCCTTACCTAAAGGTGTGGCTTATTGTTTGGGTTTTGATAGCTGAGAATTCATATAAATAGCAATTATTTCTCTTCTGGCCAGAAACTCTGAGGGTCTTCCCCTCCCAGACTGATTCTTTTGTGAAGGCAAGCTAGACTATCTTTTGCCTAAGCTCTTACCTAGCCTTTACTGAATGGGTGTTGCCTCAAACAAACTGAGAACTGGGAAAGACCTAAAAAAAAGCCAAGGTCTCCCACTACATCTGGGGTCATCACCAGTGGTCCTGACCTATGTCTTGCCACTGGATTCAGATGACTTTGGAGGGGAGAGTGAGGCTGATGACTTTGCACAGCCCTGCCTCACTTAAATCCAATTCACTTGTAAGTCAAAGACATCACCCTCCTGATGTCATTGGTCCTCTTTGAGAATGAAGAATGAACAACACCACTACCTAAATGTGTCCAGTAAAATGAATTTTGCTTCAACCACAAAGAAGCCAGGAGTTAACCAGAGTCTCTAAAAAGTCCCTACACATAAATGTAAATTAGGCAGGAAGCTCAAACTCTGCCTAAATGTCAGAAATTTTCCTAAGTGGGGACTTGGAGTGATTGAGACTGCGCTCATAACTTTTTGTCTAAAATAAACTCCTTGAAGCTGAAGAGAAGGGAACCATTTGGACCTTAGGGGCCATTATATTGCCCCTAGTCTTAAAACAAGCTAGTTATTATAACAATATATTACATTTTCATTTTAAGTATATAATAAATCACTAGGTAACTTTCAAAGTTGTCCTACTAGTCTATGACTCTTTCTGGCCTCTCATCTGTTCTATGCATTTTTAAAAAGTGCTTCAGTGATCCCATTCTCTATCTTTCCTCTTTTGGCAACCCTAACCATAGCCACCTCCATTAAGACTCCCCCTCCTCAAACTAACAAAGAAAAAACAAACAAATATTTGTAATAAATATGAATAATTAAGAAAAACACAGTCCTTCATTGACCATGTTTAAAAATTCTTTACCTAAACTTTTAAAAACTTATTCTGAAATCTTGTTTTCAGATTTTTTTCCAGCTTATGTATAATCTTAAATTGTTTAAGTGAATAGACTAGATGATCCTGAATTTTAAAATATTATGAGGCTGTAGAGGTGCACCTCTCTCCTTGTTGCAACAGATTATTACTGAGCTTATAGTTAAACCCAAAATATGGAAAAGTAAACTTTTAGATGATAAGCTTGAATTAAATGGAAGTGTAGTTGACTGCTGTGATAGGACTAGTATTTCTCTGACCCAACTTCCTTCCTCCTACTCACCACCTAGGGAGGCTTTTCCCTGAAAGATGACTATCCTGCCCTGGGCCTGATTGGCCCTGGCTTCTTTAATGAATCTTGCTGGTCATCTATGGTCATAAAAAGCCCCATTAAAAAAAAACCCAAAAAACTTGAGTTGCCATACCCTGATAACCAATTGACCAGATGGAAGGAAGGAAGGAAGGAAAGAAAGAAGAGAGAAACAGGGAAGAAGGAAGGGAGGGATGTAGGGAGTAATCAATAATACCTTGTAATAAATATGCATAGTCAAATTCCTATATTAGTCATGTTCAAAAATGTAACTCATTCTGCATAATTAATCCATCACTTCTCGTGAGATGTATAATATCTGAAAAAGAAAACAAGAACAAAATCCTTATAAACAAAAATGTGTGGCCAATAAATTCCTGCATTGATCACGTTAAAAAAAAATGTCTCAAGTTGTACTCCTGATCCATCACCTCTCTGTCAGAAGGTGAGAGACTATCTTTTTAGAAACATTAGTGTTTAGGTGTTGTATTTGCCTGATATAGTAAAGGTAGACTGCATA